TGAGATTAAGTTTGAGAATAACTTCACTGTTCTGTCTCACTGGAATTCTCAGATAACTGGCAGGCAGCACCTGCTTGTTTTCTGAAGCTCTGGTGCAGAAAAATGTATTTGAAATAATTCTTGTTTTTTTCTGAAAAAGTAAGAAAATCCATAACCATTCAAGTTATTGTGCTGAAATAGTCCATCAGTTCTGGACACAAAATGAATTGTTCAGTGTGATCCAAGGGGAGAGGGTGTGTGTGAAGAGCCTGAAGTACTGGCAGTGATATTGCACAGAAGGAAACACAGGGTCACTCACTTTGTTGTCAGTGTTGCATATGTTTAAGCTTTCTGTGTTTTGCTGTAAACTATAAACATGTGGCTTTTTCCCTTTTAATGTGTGTCCAAAGAAGGAAGGGCTGGATGCTTCAGCAGAAAAGAGTTTCCCAGTTAGTCAGAGCTTGAGAGTACAGCCTTGAAAAGCTCTGGAGCTGGGGATTGCAAAGGTGATTAATGTGTCTTTAACCTTCTAATGTTGTAGATGCCACGAGAGCTGGAGACTCTCAGTTCTTCCAAGGGAATCTCCCCTGCCCTCTGTGCTGTTTTCCCATGTCGCTGATATAAGTGGTTCTGTGGCTTTATATGGCTTAAAACTAAATTTAAAGCACAAATCTAGTTTTGCTTCCCCTTCATGTGAAGCAGGGAGAGAAGTAGCAGGAACAAACTAACAGATGAAAGGTGAGACTGCTGCTCTGGGCAGTGGGGTTGGACCAGGCTGGGTCAGGGATGGTAAAAACACAGTGTAAGCATGAACTGAATTCTGGTGTGTGTGGAGTGTGTACTACAGCATTATACCAAATATGGGATCAAAATGTACTTAAAAGGGAAAATTCCCTCAAGTCTGAATTCACTTCTGCAGTTTTGTTGTTTAGTAAGCAAAGATGTGCTGTTTGACTCATCAGAGCTGTGGTAAGAACTGAACTGTGGCATGTCACCTCTTTACAGTGAAGTCTGAAACGGGATGGTTTTCATCTAAAAATGTCAAGGTGTGCAGTAGATCTGCTAGTGGTGGACAAGGAAAGCAAAGTAAAATTACTCCTTTTTGTCCAGGGGCTGTATTACCTGTGAAAATTAGGAATTGTTCAACTCGTAGTCTTTCAGGAGATAGATGGAAAGTATTTAAGTTTTAAGATAGTTTGTATTTTGATAGAAAGTGCTGCATGGAGCCTATCTTTCAAACAATGCTATGTCAGGTAGTAGATATTCACCTTAATTTTTAGGGTAACTTCCCTAAGATGAAGTTGAACTTTTCAAGCTGCAGGTCAAGATTTAGAGCTCTTGTCCCAAATAACAGAGGTCTTGTTTACTCTTTATCACTGTCTAGGCCAGATTCTTTTTTTAAAAAGAACCCCAAAATAAACATAAACCAAAAAAGCTTGTGTAACAAGCCATCTGACAAACAGTTCAAAGCTTGATCTCTGAAGTAGTCAAGTACTTCCAGCAGTAGTACAAGTAGTACAAGACTTGTGGAAAATAGGAACTTGCCACAGTGGACCGTGGGAGAGAACATGTGTGGTCTTGCTTTCCAGACAGCCATGAATCCATGCGGAGGAGAGGCTTTCCTTACATATCCCAACCATGGGAAAAGCTTAATTGGAGTTTGCAGTTCATTATGTACCAAAGTCCTCAAGTGTTTGATGTAAATCTGTAGGAAACTGGCTTTGGTAATGAGGGTGCCCATGGCCTCTGCCAGCACCACTCCCTTATTTGCAAGGAATGGTGCTGCTATCAACTGAGATGATTATCCCAGGAGGTTTCATAACGCAGGCTGTCCTGGAATTGCTGTCACTGAGAGGTATTTGGAAGAAGAACTGTTCCTTCCACATGTGTTGGTCAGATGAACTTGTGGAGAACTTCAGCAGTGCCCACGTGGGAGCGGGATGGTCTCAGAAACAGTTGTTCTGTCTCTGTGAAATTTGATTTTTTTTTTCCTGGTTTATTAGTTGGAAACAACATTTGTTCTGGGCTTTTTGGTGGGCCAGAGGAGAGTTCCACCTGCAGGTTTTCTGGAACAAGAGGGGCAGCACTGGCCTTCTTGTGAAGCAAAAAGTCGGTGTGCTCGTCTGCTGGTCCCTAAGCTGCTTCTGGAATTATTGGAAGGGTGCAGGGGGAAGGGAAATGGGCTCGTGCTTGTTGAGAGGAGTTGTGAGAGGAAGCTCCTGTTGGCTGTGGGGAAGCTTGGACTCTCCCAGTGTCTGGGGAATTTGTGGCCTCGGTCCTTGTCCCTTCTCTTCCTGTGCCATTCCATCCTGTTGGTGTTCTGAAGGAGGAAGTTGTTGCTGCTCAGTAGAAGAGCTGAGGGAAGTGAAGGAGAGGAGAGGACTGGAGGCTGCTTTGGCTGTAGTTCCTTGTGCCTGTGCTTGGGAAAGCTGACTCAGCAAAGGTGTGGGCAGCCATGCTTGTATTCCTGCAGAATCCAGTGGGACAGCTCCTTTTGGAAAAGCAGGGATGGGCCAAGACAATGGGGCTGTGCCTCAGGAGCGGGGCAGGTCCTGCCCTGGCCGGGAAGATCCCGTGGCATCACTGCCGGGTCACTGGGCATGTAGGTTGTTGAAGAAGTGGGAAGCAAAGGTGTGGCCCCAGTGCCACAGGGAGGGTTGGTTTGTGGAGAACAAGCTGAGAGTCCTGGCCTAGGAAAAGTGCAGGAATGTGCCAGCTGTGGAAAGAGGCAAGTTCTCTGACACCCTTTTTTTTTCCCCCTCCTCTAAAACATGTGCCTACTAATTGTCCCAGCTCTTTCTGCCACTGTCAGATCAAAATAAAACCTGCAGGTCTATAATTAAAGCATAACAAATCATAAAACCACCACTCAGTTCCTCTTGCCCTTTTGTGGAAAGGAAATTTAGAAATTGGCAGGAGGAGAGAACCCTCCTGAAAATTTGTCGGTGCTAATCAGGATGAATGAATTCAACTTTCGCTTCGCTTGGATTTCTTTCCTATTTAAAGTTTCCAAAAGGTCTTTTAACCTTGAGCAGCTTCTTTCTCTCTCCTAAAAGTAACTAAATCCCACAGAGACTGAAATGAAATGGAGTAGCCTTTCTCAGTTCAAATTGTTTTGTGAACATGAGGAAAAAACCCCCACTTGCCTGCTTTTAACTGGAACTACTTTAATTCAGTATCGCTTAACAGTTACACAAATATTAAAAAAAAATAATAATTACGGAATGTAAAGCTAGCAGTGGTAATATGTAGTCACTACATATTATTTCTGAGGGAATTATTGCTTTCTCAGGTTTTCAGATAAAAATACTTGTAGAAGGAATGTTGTCTTCAGGCAAGTTAAAACTTGCTGGCATATTCCTGGTAATTCAGTGTCTTTGAAAGAAAACATGTGTGTATATCTGGGGAGATTGAAGTTGGAGAATCAAATAACTCCTATTTTAAGTGCTGGTATTTAAGCTGCCTGTGGATCATATTGATGTATCTTTGTAGGGGTTGGGCTCTTGTGATGAGGATCTGCTGTGCCACTCTCATCTGGTGTAGGGTTGATAACAAGTTTCCAAGGTACACGTAGGTCTGGCGTGAAATAATAGTGATTTACTCCTGTTGTTTCCTGCTGTGTCAGGGAATCCCCTTTAATATTCCAGAAAGATTCCGTAGTCTCCCTATGAAAGTGGGAATGAGAGGACAAGTCCAATTTCAGCCCAGCTGAAAGTCTCTCAGCTTTCTGTGTGCCTTTAGCATCATGTAATAAATGCATATTTTTAAAAGGTCCGGGTTTTATGTTCTGGACTGCTTAGATTTGAGATTATTTTTTTGATCTTACATCTACTCTTGCTTGTGCTCAAACATTCAGCTGTCCTGCGTTTGGGATCCTGCACGTGAAGTTGGGAGCTGTTTCCCTGTGTGCCAGCAGGTGATCCTTGCCTGGAGTGAGCACTGAGCCTTCTGCAGAGCCTCAGCAATGACACCCCTTGCTTTCATCCACTCCCTGTTCCCCGTTTGTTTGCAGAAGGATAGAAGCTCTCCAAGTGCATTCTCCTGTTACACAAACTGCTTAGTTACATATTCAGGATGTCACGATAAGAAAAGATTCTGTGTTTCTGCCTTGCTGCCTTTTGCTTCTCTTCTCCATATTCTGCCCTGAGAGCTGTTCCCAGACCAGCTGGGAGTTGGCAGGAATGTCACAGGTGACGGTGGTGTGGGGGGAAGCATCAACCTGACCTAAATCTTGGGGTGAGGTGGAGGTGAATTCCGCGCTTATGCATTGCAAAGAAGTTTCCAGTTGATCCCTTCCCTGGGGAAGGAGCTGTGTCCCCTTGAGGCTTAAGACTTCTCTGAATAATTAATCCTCTGGGTCTGTGTCCTCAGGGAGAGATGAAAGAACTGTGGAAGGCTACTGTGTTACACCTGATAAAGGAAGTCATTAGTGAGGCTTCGGATAGTCACATAAATTAAAAACACTTGCATCCCCTTTCCTTAATAATAGATGAAGCCTTTAGGATTAGAGTTTAAAAAAAAAAAAGGGAGGAGGGGGAAACAATGAGAAGCTTTTTTGTGTAAAATTCCTTTTCACACAGTTTTACTTGGCCCCTAAATTACTTTATTTTTCTGGATTGGCCCCATTCCTGTATGAGATGTCTGAAGAGGGCTGATAGGGTAACAACATTGTAAAACTCCCCTTGTTCTGAATTAGTGAAGATGTAGGGTGTTATTCCAAATTCCTTTGATTCTAGAGGCAAAGAAGTATTTCTGTGGCTGAACAGCTCAGTAGTTCATTTGTAGTTAATTACCTTTTTAATGAGAACAAAATTTCAACCGTTGGTAGGTAAAGAACGTTCGAACGCTCATAATTCAGGAAACAAAACTGAGCAGGGCTGGGACTTGTTTTGTTTTGCCCGTGCATTTGATGATACCAGAATTACCACTCTCTCCTTTTCTGTGGCCACACGTCCAGTCTCTCCTTTTCTGTGTTCCAAACTGGTGGTGGTTTATGCTCAGCTGTTGTGGTTTATTTCCAGGTACAATGGATCCCTCCCGAACGGGGACAGAGGACGCAGGAAAAGCAGATTTGCCCTTTATAAGCGACCCAAGGCCAATGGAGTTAAACCCAGCACTGTTCATGTCATCTCTACTCCTCAAGCATCAAAGGTATGGCACAGGGGGGACAAATCCTGGTTTTCTGATGATCCTGAGTGGAGAATTCCTCATGTGTTACTGCTGATTTGCCTTGCTGCCAGTTTGTTCTGTTGTAGTGGGATACATTTGTTTTAGTGAAGAGACTGCAGTGGATTTTCTTTCTGAGGGTATATGGCTTTAATTTTAATCCAGTTACTGGTTTAAAATAGTCTGTAAGCTCAGGTGTGAGATAATCTGACCTTTCTGCCCCTGTTCAGAAAGCTGTCACTGCTTTTGTGATAAAAACAGAAAAAGTATTTTAATTTCTTTCTCACTGGAGTGATATCTCTTTCCTCCTCAGTAAGATAACTGACACGCTATAAAAAATGTCATGATCCCTCTGGACCTTTCATTTTTGTTGCTAATAATGATGCTGTGGAAGTTTTTACCTGAAGTTTAGTGTGGGTGAAGGAGGAAAAGCAGTAAATATTTAACATAGTAATATATTAATGTATAGAGCTGTCCAGGTCCAAGTTCTGGTGGTGGAATATATTTCAAGCTTCAGAAAGTCATGGATCTTCACACTGCTCAGAAATGTGTTGTCTAACTTGGTCCAAGAGAAGAATGTTGTTTAATACATAGTGTGGGATTATGTTTTCTAATGCTCAGTATACACCTAAACTTATCAAAATATACAATATCAGAGCTTCTTTTCTTTGCAGAATCCTTTGTGTAGGGTCTGCCTAGTGCAGATAAATGGGGAGTCTTTTGGATTAAAAGTTTCTGTGAATATTTTTCAGTGAAAGCTTTTGTGAGTTAATAAACTCAACCTTCAAAATAGACCTATAGTGTGATGTTTGTGTTGGTAATTCCAGTCTGCTGCTTAAAATGTAACAAATGGGGAAAAAATGCGTTTTACATAGTGGCTGGAAACGTACCCATGTTCTCACTGGATAATCTGAAGCATTTGGACTGCAGTATTTGAGTTGCCAAATATTTAAACACCTGGCAGACAGCACAAGGAATCTGGTTAATGTTCATCTGTGGTGTTATTGCAGTGCAGATAAAATATGTGTGCTGTACAAATTAGTGCCCTTATAAAGATAGCACAGGGGCTGGGACATGAATGCCTGTCCTCCCAGGATTTGGATTCAGGTAGATATGTCAAGTTGAATGGATTCTTCTGCACTTTCTCTGAACCCTTATAAAAGAGCTTTTATATGTTTATACTGCTGTCTGGGGCAAGGCTGGTGGGTGTGTGCCAGAACAGGGGTGCAGAGAACCTCAGTGAGAGCTCTTTCCATGCACAGAGAGGACTCTTCTGTTTTTTAAGATGCTGTCATAGGCTTTTCTCACATCTTAGGCACCAGAGCCTAAATCATTTTACTGGGAATGGTTTCTCACACAACTTGTGTCAATGATTGCAGAAACACAGGCTGATAAAGAGTGAGCTGCTTGGTTCTTAGAAAATAACAACTTGATCTCAAAAGTTTAGTTCTGCTCTCAGTCTTTCAGTCTAACTCGTATTTAAGGAAGGTAAAACAGTGGGACCTTGTGCTGCACAGGATATTAACAAGTTTTCTCCCTTTATATCCTTCCTTCTCACTTTTCAGATATCAGTTTTCTGTTTTGCTCTGCTTGTCTGTCACTGCAAACTGAATCTGGAGTGGGAAGACACATGTTATGTTTAGAGCACTGGTGCTTCTTGGGTGGGGGATTTAGCAGAGGTGGGTGAGGCACTGACTGTCTCCATTGGTTTTGTCTCTGATGTGGATACTGGAATAAGGTGCAGGGCTGGTTTTGTGCTAATTGTGTTAATGCACCAGCTCAGGAACTGTATTTGTCACCAATTCTAAGCCTGAAAACTGCAGTAAATGACAGGAGGCTGCTTGTCATGTCCCATTGTCCCTGCTGTGCAGGTGTCAAGGACAGCTGGGGTAGCAATGGCTTCAGTAGTAAATTTAGCTGAGCTAATTGCATATGAATCAGGGCCTTTTGTTTTTTCCACTGAAAGCTCGATTTTTTGCTATTCTGCCTTCTGAGGTGCTGGAGAAAACTTAGGATTGTTTGGGTATATGAGTGTGTCTGGGGGGAAAGCACTGCATGGGGTAATGAGTCTCAAGTTTTTTCAGAGTATTGTTAAAATATGGATGCACCTCTTCAACATTATTCACTTCACTTTAAAACCTATTTTATTTAACTCTGTGCTTAGACAGCAGTCAGGAAATTTTCTGGTATCCCCTTTATCACAGAAGTCACACTGTTTAAGACAGACTTTTTCCAGCACTGTCAAAATTGAATTTGCTGTAAGAAAGGAAGCTTAAAACTCTTATGCTGTCCTGAGTTTCTTTGTGTACATGTCAGGGGTGGAGAGTGAGGGACTGTGAGTCTTTGTTAACTGTGTATGAATCTAAGATTTTAATGATCTCCTTCGCTGAATTAGAGAGTTTGTTTCAAAATCATCACGTCACAGGGTCACCTGGGAGTGCTGAGATGCTGAACCAGAGTTCACTTGGTTTTGGGAGGGATATGTGAGGTTTTCTTAAGGGATTTTCATATTTTGGGGGTTTGTAGTGGGTTTTTTTTTTGGTTGGGGGTACACACGTCTGACAGGGAAACAGGTGTCTGTGAGTGAAAGCTAAACCAGCTTAATATCACTGTGGGATAATATTTAAGGGCAGTATATCTTTCTTACAGGTCTTAAGTAGGTGAATAATATGCCATCTAAAGAAAACTGCATGATTCCAATTTCTGCTAAGCAGAGGTGTTTATCTTCCAGTACACATCCAATCTTTTTGATTCAGTGGACCATTAGGTTTACACAGGTGGATCTTCACTCCTCTTTCTTTCTTCTCAGCCATCACTAACTCCTTGTTGGATGATGTTAGCTGGAGTGGGAGAAAGACACACACCCCCCAGTCCCATATGAGGCAGCTGGCACTAACACTGAGGTTACTGGTTTTATTGGACAACTCTAATCATATAATCCCCCATGACTTCAGGTCTGTGTGCATTTAGATTTCCTTATTGGTTTCTAATGCTTTGGAATTACTTCCATAGTTGTAGAGTTTAGAGAAATGAAGAAGGAGCTTTATGTGCATCTGAATTACTGGAAGTATGGCATTAGGAAGCATGAACTGTTGACAGTAGCCCTCCAGAATTCCCTAGGATTACTCTGGAAGCATGACTGCAACAGTGCATATGGGATTTGAGACCTTCCAAAGTATTAAGTCAGTGGGCAAGGGAATCAAGCACTGGAAGTACTCCTTTCTAACAAGGAATGTTTTGCTTTGGTGCCTGAGCGATTCTGTTCTTAATACTGACCCCACAGAAGGTTGCAAATGCCTTTTGAATTGCTGTAGACTACAAAAAACCCCACCTTTATTACCTTTTTATGGTGGTGTGTCTTGGTATTTATTATGTCTGTCTGTCTTAGGATCAAAGTTTTCCTTTGGTAACCTGTGGTGGATAAAGCCAACCTATTTTCTCCCCTATGAAATTACTATTTCAAGCTGCCTGGGGAAGATCTTTCCGACTTCAAGTCCAATTACCTGCCGAGTTGGCTTCTGCTTTGTGCTATCACAACAGCAGCTTGTGCAGTCACTGCCTGGGTTCCTGCAGCTCCAATCAAGTTTCCTGCTGCTGCTGGAAGAGAACAAAATGCAGCCATACCAATAATTATTAGGTCGGGGACAGAGCTGCAATTTGTGCTTTGAGTGACGAGAGAAAATGAAAGTATAGGGTTCTTGTGATCAGATGCTGCATCTGCTTTGACATCCTTTGAATGGGGAGTAAAAGGACCAGAGATCCTTTTGGCACTGACAGCTTTGTGGTGTTCATTGTGAGTGAGAGCTGTAGAGCTCAGCTGCTGTGCCTGTCAGTGGCTTCTCTCTTTCCTACTGGGCTTATTTATGGTCTAATCAGTTTGTGGAGCACTAATTTGTTCTGAAGTAACTTAATGGCACAGGTATCTCCAGAGTCCTGGGCTGTGCAGGAACAGCTTTTTCTTGGCTCATCACACTAAGTCTACTTGAATAATAGTTTCCTGGATGTACTGTCCTTTTCTCTATTAAATGAGCATCACCTTAACGTGCTGACTCCCTGTCCCTGTGCCCTTCAGTATCAGGGAATGGTCAGACAGAAGGATTAGACCAATTTCACCAGAAAGGCTTCATAAATAACAACCCTTACTTGGTTTGAAGCTCTCCTTCCTGAGCTTTTGGGACCTATTGAGCAGAATGCATGTCAAAGGTTTTGGAAAATCATTTTATAGTGTTTTCTAACAAAACCCAGATGTTTAGTGAAGGAAGGGGAATTAAAAAATTGCTGAGGACTACAACAATTATTTTTTTATGACTTAATGTTGCTCTTTGTTTTCACACTCTCCCTTCAGAGGGTAAAAAGGATCAAAAAATGCTTTCTTTGTAAGCTCTCTTTAAACTACATCTGCTCTAAATCAGTATTTCAGAGCTGGTTCTGCTTGAACGTGGGTGCCCTCTGAAAGCAGAGGAAGGTGCAGGGATCACCAGGACTGGTGTTAAACTTGGGAATGTTGCATTTCCCTGTGCGCTTCCACTTGGCTTCCCCCAGGGATCCAGGCTGTGCAGTGTCTCAGTTTGCAGCTTCCTTGACTGTGTCAGGAATAACCTGGGGGGTTTGGGCTCGTGATAATGGAGAGCTTGGAAAGGAGGGGCTGGATCTCAGCTGAGCTTTAAGTGCTGTAGGGTGAGGTCAGACGCTGCAAACCTCGCTGCCCATCATGGAATGTCTTCAGTTGTTCGTGCCACTGGAAAAGCAACAAGTAGGATTTGCACTGGAGATGGTTTCACTGGAACATAAAATTTTCACAGCTTGAGTTTAAGGTAGCATGACTTGTTTAAAGCTCTCTTGTTCCAGTTTGACTGGTTCCTGCATCTTCCTCACCGTTCCCAGCAATTTGGGGTGGAAATTTTCGACCACCACTGTAGTGGTGAAGCTCTGTCCTGTCTCATATTTATTCTAATTGGGTTTATAATTGGCTGGAATGGATCTGG